CGGGCTCCGGGCCCTCGGGGACCCCTGCAAGACCCTACCAGTGATCAGGGCTGGGGGGCCTCCCTTTCCCGGCCCATCCCTGCCAGATTCTGAGGCCCGGCTCTGGTCACAGATCCCAGGTCACTGCCAATTCTGGGTTCGAGTTCCTTCACACTGGGGGTCGGGACAGCTCTGGCTCTGCTAGCCCAGTAGGTCCCTACCCACCCTGCCCACCCTTGTAGGTCATCCCCAGGTGGCCAGGGCAGCTGGAGCCATATGGCCTGTGACTCTCAGGGTGCGACGGCCCCTTGACCACTGTCTTCCTGGCGCTGGGGAAATAGACGGCACGACCAGTGACCTGAGGAGGGCTTAGTAAGAGGGCCACGTACAAGCGTGCAGAAAGGGGGGTCAGCACCCCGGTGGGCTCACGGAAGGAAAGCGAGCCGTTATCATTTTAGTACGAAGCACACAGACAGACACTTCACCAGCCCTCAGTCTTATGTCCGGGGTACCCTTCTAATTGTTTTACACAAACACGCAGGGCAGACCAACTGGTGGGATAACCGCCAGGACGGGCCCTGCCCCCTGCCGAATCGGAAGGCACTGCTAACACACGTGCTCTCAGAAGATGCTCCGGCTTTAGGCACCTGCAGCTCCGCTTGACAGATGAGCTCGACAGCCGCCCAGGGCTGATGGTGCTTGGGACAGCTGCCAGTGCCTTTTGCACAACACTTGGGTACCTGCCAGGTCCTCGCACCCGTGGATCGCCACGAAAACGTAAAGTGTGTGACTGGGAGCACATCTAGAGCTAGCAGTCTAGAGTCGGGTTCTCGAGAATCCTTTTATTCATGGGGGAAACCACGCCCGGGAGACGGGACAGCGAGTCCAGGCCACGGTGTGCAGAGCTGAGGTGGGAACAGACTCCCGGAACCCTGCGTCTGCCGCCCACTGCCGGTGACCTGCAGAGACCCCGCTGGGCTCTCCTCCTCAGGTGGAGGGGGTCTCCAGCCAGCTCAGGCCAGTGCATGGCCGTGAAAGGTTGTAGACAGATCTGAACACTTCTAGATGGTGATCATGGTTTCAGATGTAAGAAAAAAAAATCCAAATCAAAGGAGGAAATTTGCAAAGACTTTAAAATATATGTATTTAGAGCTGACATAAGCTCTCCTTGAAAGCAATTTAGTGAAGACCACTGATTGAGAGAAAAATCACACTATTAAAGCCAGAAGCACAGACACCAGCTTGGTGCAGAGCAGCCCCTCCATGAAGTGGCACAGTGTAGAGACATCGGTCACTGATGCCTACAGACACGTAATCAAAGAGGACAGAAGACCACGTGGACAATGGGCTCAGTCCAAAGTCCAGAACTAGAAATAGGCCAGCTCGTCCTGCCTGGTCTTGTTGGTCTGGTAGTCGTGCAAGGCCAAGGGCTTCTTTTCATGGGGGAGACTTTCAAACACTCGAATATGTACAAAGGCATCATCTTCAACTTGAACCTGCAAAGAGAGTCGAGTGAGGGAGGGAGGCAGGTGCCGGCTCTGGCCTCAAGTCCCCAGACTCGCCTAGATGGTGTGGGAAAGCCCCTGGGTGCGTGGAGTCTGAGTCCCCTCGGGCATCTGCACCTAAGTGGGTGACATTCCCATCTTCCTCCCTCGGGCATAGCAGACACCCATCGCCCCAACCAGGACCCTTGGCATCCCCACGTTCGCTCCGTCAGAGCCCTCAGTTGCCTGAAGGCTCAGTCCCCTCCTCCACGGAGGCCTGCGTGGGTGCACGCACAGCAGTTTAGAGGGGACAGATGCCCTGAAGCTGGGCACTGCCGCAGGGACCCCCCTTTAACACCCCCTGTCCCCGCACCTACATGCCCCCCCACTACCCAGGGGGTCTGCACGAGCACCCATGTAGCCGACACTCCACCTTGATGAAGTAGTTGACCCCCGCGACCATCTGGCTCTGGTACTCCACAGCCTTGAAAAGGGTGTACTTCTTGTTTTCCTTCTCCTCCAGCTGGGACTTCACCTGGGGGTTGGGCCAGAAGGGAAAACTCAGTGGCTCCCTTCCTGCAAGAGGAAGTGCCTGGCACATGAGCTTCTGTCTACCTGACGTTCAATGTTGCAAATTGACCTCTAAGGCCCTGCCCTTTACAGATTTTCTCTTTTTTTTGACATAATTTTTTAAAAAGATTTTATTTATTTATTTTTTAGACAGAGGAAGGAAGAAGAGGAGGAGAGAAACATCAATGTGTGGTTGCCTCATGCACACCCCCCCTGCTGGGGACCTGGCCTGCAACCCAGGCATGTGCCCTGACACTGGGAATCGAACCAGCAATCTTTTGGTCCCCAGGTGGGCACTTAGTCCACTGATCCACACAGCCAGGGAGGGCCCTTTGCAGATTTTTCTACAACACGATTGTTCCTTGCAATGGAGGAGACATGTTGAACTGTTCGCACTAATGAGAAAGTACAGCAAAAAATTCCTTAATTCCACCAAAGTTTCAAAGGAATGATTTCAGTATCTCACTTGCCCTTTCTTTTCTAGGTGTCAGAAATTTTTACTTTTTCACTATTATGACACTATTGGGCGGGCGAAAAAGTTCGTTTGGTTTTTTTTCTATACGATGGCTCTAGTAGTGCTTAGCTGTGGATGGAGAAGGGGCCGAGACTGATCAAACGTGTCGAAGGTGGTTTGCAAGGTTTCCTGCTGGAGACGTCTCACCGGATGACGTGCTCCACGGTGGGGGAGACCAGCCGAAGTTGACGGCGATCAGATAGAGACGGTAACTGAGAACAATCAACGTTCTACCACCCGGGAGATAGCCGACATACTCCAAATATGCAAATCAATAAAGGTATTGGTGAAAATGAAAAAATGGGTCTTTTATTTTACAGAAAAAAACTAAGTAGACTTTTTGGTCAACCCAAGACAAGTTTACACCCTGTTTTTCTCTTTTAACTTAATATAGTTAAGAGAGAAAAGCAAAGAGCAAATAGTTCCTTTTTTAACAATAAAATCTTGAAACAGTTTGCAATGTTTAACAGGTTAATTTTAGATTTAATCTCTCATTTTACGGATGAGCTTTAATTCTCTTAACTGCCCCCTACTGGGCACTTTGGCTGTTGCTAAATTCTCCTGGAACAGAGAAGGCACCGAGAAAGTGCTTTGCAGGTAAAGGGTGCCGTCCTGCATTTCCAGGGGACGTCGGAGCATGTCGTGCCTTTGGGCAGAGGCTGATCCCAGCCCCGAATCTCAAGCAGGAATCCATCCTCTGTGTGGTTCAGTCCCGTCTCCCAGGATCTTGCCCTCTTACTAACTGAGCATCTTTGTGGAGGTAGGAGAAAGCAGGTTTTTAAATTTTTTTTTCTTCATTTACAATCTAACCTGCTATCTAGATGAATCAGTAGGCATAGGAGCACGCTGGCTTTGGCTGGAGTGCCTAGACTAGTTCTAGAGGGTTCGAGGACTTGAGTCAAGGCAGCTGCAGCAGGCGGGCTAGCTGCTGGGAGCCAAGGAGGATCACCCTTGTCACAAGCAAATGAGTCACTGAGGCCACCCCTGCACCTTCAGGGAGGGGACCCTCCCGGGGGTATGAATGGGAAGGAGACAGCACTTGGGGGCAGCTCTGGGCGGGAGGGAGGTGGGTCAGGTAGGAACAGAGCAGGCTCTTCCCGCCCTTCTTAAGTTTGGGAAACCGGGAACAGCAAGGAATAGCTGGGCTCTGTGAGCAGTGCGGGGGAGGGGGGGCGGGAGGCACCTCCCTCGGAGCCCGCTCACCCTGCAATCCCTGCAAATTCCTGTTTGCTGAAGTCTCCTGGGACTGACTCAACAGCCTGTGCTGTGGTCAGCTGGTCTAAACCACCAGGGCAAACGACGGGGGGCTCGCAGCATTCCCTCGGGGTAGGGAAGACAAAGCAGGGGAGGAGACTTACAGGAGAAAGAGGTTTGTTTTGCTTGTGGTCTTCTCCTCAAGCCTTCCTGCGGCCCTACCATTCCACCTTGGCCAGAACCTTCTGTGAAAGCACCTTAGTGGTGCCCACTTTACAGATAAGGAAACTGAGGCGCAGGGGTCAAGCGCTGTCTGGTTTCTGTTTTGTTTTTCAATGTTTATTTGGAGCTCATTTCAAACTTACACAAGGAGTGTAAGTTTAGGGTCACTGCGTACCTTCCCCAGGTTCACTGACTGTTAACCTCCACCCCACCTGCTCCTTCTCCTGGTCTCTGGTTTTCCCCTTCACCGCCCGAGGGCCAGCATGCCAGGCCCTTCCCCCTGAGCGCTCTATGGCTTGGTCCCCAGAAGCCGAGGCTCCTCTGTCCCTGTCCCAGCCTAGCCCCACGGGCCACGTCCCAAGTGCGCACATTTCAGCCAAGATCTCCGCGTTCCGGCGGGCGCCGCCCCGTTGCGGACAGGGCCAGACCGACCCCGGGCTCTGTAGGACCCAGCCCACCTACCTGGTCGGCGATGGCCTGGATCTCAGCCGTGGCGGGGCCTGGTGGCGGAGGGCGCACCCAATCCCACCTGTGTATCGCTCATGTTGGGACAACAGGCACAGAGGAGCTGCAAACAGGAAGGGAGTTAGGCAAGTATGATTTCGAGAGCAGACAGCCCTCCGCCCTATATCTGCGAGGTCACCTGACAGGCGGGCGGGACCGCACGAGGCGGGACCTTGGGAGGGCCTGAGCAGGGCGCAGCTTGGTGGGTGAGGTCTGCTGGGGAGAGATGGGTGAGGGGCGAGCGCACTGAGGATGGGGGGGAACTTTCACCTTTCCCTTAATTACCTGAAAGCATTTAGATAGGGAGTCTGGTTCAGACAGACAGCAATATGTGTATATAAAAATACATATAATGGTATATGTATATGTATGTGTGTATCCATATTTTCAACCTGAGACTCACCTGCAGCGCAGGTATCTGAGTATCAAACACCCGCTCCTCCCACCTCCCCTTGATTGGCCTTCCTCCGGACCCTCAGCTCCGGACGGTTCCAGACCTGAGCTGCCAGGCAGCCTTTGGATCTCACATCTGTATGGGGCTCTGTATGCATGAAATTAAATTTGCTGTTCTCCTGTTACTCTGTCCCACACCATGTTAATTGTTAGACCTGACGAGATGCCCTTTGTGTTCCCGCAGTGTGTGACCCGGTGATGGGGGACAAGTGGGATGGCGAAGGCTCTATGGTTAGTCGTTTCTTGCAAGCAGGTAACAGGTGTGGCAAGCACAGCTGTTGCTGCCAGTCCGAGGGCGGGGCTCCTCGCCCTTCCTGGGTGGGGGTGCTGCTCTGGGGGGAGGCGGGGCCTGGTCGGGGGGGCGGGCGGGGCTGGCGGAGGAGCTTTCCCCAGAGAGCCAGAGGGTCGGTGTCTCGGGGCCACGCATTCCCTGCTGCAGCCAAAGCAGCCACTTCACAAACCATAGGACGGGGTCGTTTCCTAACAAAACTTCCCAGACAGACGTAGATTTGAATTTCCTGCCATTTCCGTGTGTCACCAAGCATCACTCTTCTTCTGACTTGTCCCCCAACGTTTAAAAAGTGTTAGAATGGCTCTCAGCCTGTGAGCCACGCACAGGCAGGCACCGGGATAGGCAGTGGGCCACAGCCTGCCGTCCCTCAGTGGGCAGAGTGGGCAGGACGCCCTGGAGTGGCCACCCCGAGCCCCTCGGGGCACCCGAGGGTGTTGGCAGAGGAAGGGGCGCACCCGAGCCTCCCCCGGGATCCCTCGGAGCCCTCGGGTCACCACCCACTGCCCGTCTCCGCGGTCAGGTGCCCGGTCTCCCGTGGGGGCCGCAGGCCTGGGCCCGAATGCTGGGTTTCGTCTCCTCCTCCTCCTCCATCAGTGTCAGCCTGTATCCCTGCGTCCTTTCTCCACAGTACGTTCCGGAGGACCTCCTACTGGTGTACAAAGAGAAGGTCGTGCCCGTTGCAGACATCATAACCCCTAACCAGTTTGAAGCTGAGTAAGTGGCTAGAAACAGCTAAAGCTTTCAGACCTCCCCACGGGAGAGCGACGCAGACAGTGCAGGAAGAGTCCCCAGACCACCTCTGGGGCTCGCGTTCAGCTCCTCGGAAGGTCCCACCCCAGGGTCTCGAGGGGCCCCAGCCGACCTGGCTTCCGGCCGTCAACGGTCGCGTGCAGTTACTTCACCCTGACTCCCTGTGCCTGTCACACCGGCTCCAGCTGTGTTCTTGAACAGTGGGACACTTGGGGGACACCGAGGGGGGAGTGGCGCTCTGGCACATGGCTGCCACGGGCCACACGGTAGAGAGTCCATGCCAGCTGGTACAGGCGGTCACGCCAGAGCTCTCCCACACCCCCAGTCACCCTTGCTGGCCCCGTGTGCCGTGACATGGTCACGAAGGGGGCGGTGTCCCTGTTGTTCGTGTTGTTGCGTGTGCACATGGACCGCAGTCTGGAACTTCAGCCTGCCCTGTGATGTGGGGGTCCCCATTTAAAACTAAAGTTTACTCTTGACCAGTCCCCAGACACCCTGTGGTGGCCACTTGGTCCGTGATGGCCTGTGATGGCCAGCAGGCTCTGAGTCAGCTCCCTGGGGCAGCTGGGGGTGGGCACCAGTCCCGGTGCAGTTCTGGGAACGTGACAGGCAGGACCCAGCTGGCGAGGGATGCCTCACCCGTGCCCGCCTGTCCTTCCAGGTTACTGAGCGGCAGGAAGATCCACAGCCAGGACGAAGCCTTAGCGGTAAGGGAGACCTTCCAGGTGCTGGTGTGGGACAGAGGGACTGATCACAGTGGGGAGGGGACAGCCACGTGCCCGTGGAGGTGGGAGACGGGCACCCTCAGTGGCCAGCATCCCAGCTTCCAGTTGGCTATCCACAGGGTTGGGGGATGCACTGCAGATTTCTCTTTGGTCGCTCGGCCGCTCCCTCACTTGCAGCTTCGTGCTCGTGGGGTCTGGTTAACCCGAGGCCAGCTCTGCTGGTCACAGCAGCCCGGTTTGGGCTAATGAGGAGTGGCCGTGGCAGAGCTGCAGCGTGGGGAGCCCTCCCACTTGGAGGGCGTCCGAGCCAGATGACTCTGGGGCAGGAAAGAAGCAGTCTGTGGGTACAGGCACCCCTTGGTATGAGAATGAGAGGAGACAGGTCACGCACCCCCACAGGTCCGGGCCCAGGGTGGGTGCTGGGCAGCTGGCCTGCCCATGTATGCATGCGTGTGTGTGTGTGCACACATGCATGTGGGAGGCACCCCCCCCAGAGCTCACACGCAGCTTGAGGCAGAGGGTGCCCACTTGCAGCCTCACAGGCACTGCTCGGGGCAGCCCACAAGACAGACGGGTCCTCCTGCAGCCCTTACTACAGGGCGGTCCCTCGCTGCTCTGTGACTCGCAGCCCAAAGCCTTGGGCTCACAGGGGAGGGACTCGGCTTCCTCGCCGGGACTTGGGTGAGCAGGCGCCTGGGCCGAGGGGCCGTGACTGGGAGTCCACGTTAGTGCCCCCGCACCGGAAATTCCGAATGTGTGTGCACGACCAGGGCCAGCGTAGGAGCCTTCCCTACGACGGCGGGAGGCCTGTGTGGCTTGGCCCGCTGGTGCTAGCCCCGTGGGAGGCTGGCAATATGCCCGCTGCCTGCGACTGGCCCTCCCGCACCGGCCCCAGCTGTGTCCAGGCCTGGCCCCTGCTCTGGTTCAGCTGGCACTGTCCCGACCTGAGTTGACCTCAGTGGGTATTCTGTCACAAGGCACTGTGCCCTGGAGGGCAAGAAGCCTCCAGCCCCACCGAGTTCTTGGGCACATGGCAGCAGGTGTTTGTTGAATGAATAAATGAGCGCATGAGTGGCTTCCCAGAGTGGATGGGTGCTGGGAGTTGTTGTTGCTTGGTGTTTGCTCTGTGTGGGGCCCGGATGAGGAAGCACAGTGGGCCCAGCCTGGTTGGCACCTCTGTCCAGGAGATGGGCACCCGTGGGGTGCAGATGGGGGCTGGCGGGTGTGTGCCCTCAGACTTCAAGCCAGAGGGGATGGGGACAGTGGCTTTCACCTGGCAAAACGCATTCGGCAAAGCTGTCACTGAACAGGCAAGGGCCGGTCAGGGGAGGCTCCCAGGTTCTCAGCCCCTGCTGCCTCCCTCCCGTTAGGCCGGACCCCGTGAGAGTGCATGAGGGGCTGTGAGTGCTGGCCGCACCTGGCCGTTCCGGCTCACGGGGTGGGGTGCAGGAGCAATGGCCTGTGCTGTGGCAGGTGACTCAGGAGTGGCCGACGCACTCCCTGTGCCCGGCAGGTGATGGGACGTGCTGCACTCCATGGGCCCCGACACAGTGGTCATCACCAGCTCCGACCTGCCCTCCCCGCGGGGCAGCGACTACCTGATCGTCCTGGGGAGCCAGAGGACCCGTGAGTCCCACGCCCGCCCCACCACACCCTCCCTCCCACCCTGCCCTTCCGCTGTCTGCCCTGCCCGCCTCTGAGAAGGCGTGGGGACCAGTGGGGAAGATGAGCACCCCTTACTCAGCAGGCAGTCATTTCCCTTAGTTCCCGTCACTCCCCACCCTGCCTCGTCCTGAGAAAGGGGGGAGACCGGGAAGCAGATAGGGGGAGGGTTTCCATCAGCCGGGGCACAGTGGAGCTTGGGGTGCCGATACCTCCCCCCTGGTCACCCGCCGAGCAGCCCTCAGTGCCAGGACGGCACCAGCGGCACAAGAATCACATCCCGACTTCCATGTGGGGGTCGTGAGGAGCAGCCCTGCCAGGAAACCAGGGGTCCACATGCCTGACCCCCACGGGGCCTGGACTGGTGCCGACCTCTTGGGGTGGGGTGGGTGGGGCTGGGAGGTGCTTCGTGCTCCTGCTCCCCGTGTTCCTGTTTCCCCGCGGGAGTGCCGCCTGGGTGGGCGCTCCATGCCCGGCGTCAGCGTGACTCAGGAGGCCGGGGTCCCACTCCTGCCGTGGGAGCAGCCCCGCGGGCACCTTCTCACCGCTCCCTCTCATCTGTGTGCAAGAACACACATGCACACACGCCCTGACACACTCACATACACACCTCACCCCCAGTGAGCTCACAGGGTCCCTCCAGCTCTAGGCACCGTGGTCCTTCAGGCTCCCTCTGAAGACCACGTGAGCCGGCCCCTTGTCGGCCATGCAGGGTCCCCCCAGGCCATCCTGACTGCAGCCGCTCGGGACACTCGCCATTGTCCACTTCCTCCCCTGGGACAGTGAAGCCACTGTGGGGCGTTGGGAGCGGCCGGCAGGCCCTGAGCCCTGGGTTCTGTCTGGGCGAGCCGCCGCAGGGTGACATCACCCACCTCGCACAGTGCAGGGGACGAGGGGGGAGGAGGACAGACGGGGGCCCGGACCTGGGCGGGCGCTCTGCTGGCGAGGGTCCGGGGTCCCAGTGTGCCGTGCTATCTCCAGGGCACCCCGACGGCTCCGTGGTGACCGAGCGCATCCGCATGGACATTCGGAAGGTAGACGCCGTCTTCGTGGGCACCGGGGACCTCTTTGCTGCCATGCTCCTGGCATGGACACACAAGCACCCCAACAACCTCAAGGTCAGCGGGGTACACCACCCCTGACCCCCACCAGTTGATCTGTTCATCACTGTGGGGAGTGGTCACCACATCCAAAGGGCTGGAGGGAGACAGGGGTGACCGTGAGCTTAGAGGTGGGCGGCCCTGGGCGGGCAGGGGTCCTGTGTCATGTGCCACGTCTGGGTGGAGTCGCAGCCCCACCCCTCCTCACCGTCCGGCGCTGAAACCCGGGGCCCTTGCTCAGGACCGAGGTGCCGCAGCACCAGTGATGGGAGCCTCTCCCAGCAGAGCAGTCCCTGTGAGGCACCCTCGAACGCAGTCCCTGGGCGGAGGAGTAAATCGGGGTGCGGGGTCCCTCCTGGGCTTTCCCCCAGCCCAGCTCAGACTCGGGGCCGTTCTTCAACCTCCTCAGTGCCGCGTGCATTTTCGCGGTGTCTTAAGAAGTTGCCCTGTCTGATCCCCCGTGAGCTGACAGCCTCTCTGTCCTCCGCGAGCCTGTAGAGGTGCCAGGCGGGCAAGGCCTGCACTGCCTGATGCGGGAAGGGCAGTTGGGGGTACAGGGGCTGGTGGGAGAGAGGAGCCAGGCCTCTGTCTGGTTGGGTCCCCTCAAGGAAGGGAGAATTCGGCGGTCGGGACCTGGGAATGGATTCCCCTGAAGCCGTCATTGCAGGGCACCCAGGGCGGGGGGTCCGTGCCTCCCCAGCACATCTGAGTGTTGGGCTCCGAGTTTGTGTAGTGCAAAGCCTGCCCGGGGGTGCCTCCTCTGCCGCCTACCAGTGGAAGCAACACTGTGCTGTTCTCTGGCCACTGTCAGCCCTCTCTTGCCTGCCCCGAGGGCCAGCCTGCTGAGAGTGCAGGCCTGCCCGCTTCATTGGCAACAACAGGAGCTCCATGTGGTCCAGGCAGGGGCACCGTGGTGCCCAGAGAAGGCCTCGCCGCTGGGCCCCAGGTTCCAGGACGGAGTTCTGTCGGACTCCCTAGCCCCTGCTGAGCTCCAGGTCTGACTGGGAGACTCAGAGCAATGGCTTTGGCCGACCTTGGAGCAGGAGGTCTCTCCATGTTGGTTTTTTTGTACTTCGTTCATCCCAGAAACACTTCCTGAGCGCCCGCTACGGGCCCAGACAGTATCGTTGGTCCTGAGTCACAGCCCCTCCCCAGAGCTGTCTGCGGTCCGGAGGGGCAGTTGATTGTGTTAAGCAGGCGTCCGCTCAGCTCTGTTCTGCTGGGGGGAGGCGTGGCCAGCTGGAGGGATGACCGCCCGAGCCGGCACCCTCGTGACTCGGCGCAGACGGCACTCTCAGAGGCGGCTGTGGGCGGCATGGGGGGGCCGGCGGGCCTGGGCGAGATGGGGGGCACAGCGGTTCCCCCTCCCTGCAGGTGGCCTGTGAGAAGACGGTGTCGGCCATGCACCACGTGCTGCAGCGGACCATCAAGTGTGCGCAAGGTACCGCGGGCAGGGCCCACGGGCACCCTTCGCGCTCCTGAGAGCCTCCCGCGTCTGGGGGCCTGGGGCCGAGGGTGGGGAGGGAGGCGGCACCCTGCTCCACTGTGGTGACGTGTGACCGATTCTGCTGTGACCGGGGGTCCCTCTGGCTCCCTCTGTCCCCCTGACCCTGGCCTTGAGGAGTGGGGTCTGTGGGCCTGCTCTGCCCCCGACGCTCACGCTCTGTGTGCTCTGCAGCCCAGGCCGGGGACAGACAGAAGCCCAGCCCGGCCCAGCTGGAGCTGAGGATGGTCCAGAGCAAAAGGGACATCGAGAACCCGGAGATCGTCGTCCAGGCCACGGTGCTGTGAGGACCGCGTGCGTGCGCCCGCCTCCCGGCGTGCAGCGTGTCGGCGTGTCCCACTTTGTCCCGTGAGAGATGTGACGTCTGCCTTAGAGCCGTGACCGAGACTTGACGTGTCTTTTCTTTCGTGCGTGTCCAGCATCCGCTGGTGTTCATCGTGAAATCGTGCCAGTCGTGCTTTTTAAAAATAACAAAGTGATCACAGAAGTTCGTGATTTGGAAAACCAGCTGCCCTTCCCCACCGAGGCTCCCGGGCCTCTCTGGAAAACCAGCTCTGTGGCCGCCCTCTGGGGGGTGGGGGGCGTCCTCCCCAGCCGGGGGTGGCCCTTGGTGGGAGGGGCAGCGGCCCCCAGAGAGTCCCATCGGCTCCCACCAGTGAATGGTCCCCTGTCCAGTTTGGGTCCGGGTGGTGGGGGGCGGGTCCCCAGGGGGTGGGGGGGCTCTGTCTGTGTGTCTCTGAGAGCGAGAGTTCAGCGTTAACCACTCGCGTCCCTGCCAGACTCTGCCAAACACCTTTATTGTCATTCTGGCCTTTTCCTCCTTGCTCCTGCTTCCAGACTTGTGTTTCTTTGCTGCTTAGGAGGTCGTGGGGCATTCCAGGTATTCCGCTTCTGTCTCCACATCGGGACAGGTTAACGCCAGCTGGCCCAGAGACACACAGGCCTGCGCGGTCACATTGGCAGGGACACTTCCAGGACCCCCCAACATTCAAGCCAGTGTACAAATCTCATGAGTATCCGAGGGACCACTCTGTAACGCACAAGTGTCTCTAGGGACCTGCCGAGCAAGGTGCAGAGACACCTGTAGATACCTGTGGGCGGAGGGCTGGCCCTGGGGCCAGGGTGTCTGGGAAGGTACCGTGGTGGGCTCCTTGTGGTAGGACACCCCTACTTTGTGGCACAACAGCTTGGGAACTGCGTGTCTGCCACCTGCTGCTAGTGACATGCCTTGTGCCACAGAGTGAGTGAGTGTACAGACAGGTACGGGTGCAGATGTGGGCTCCTGCTCCCTCTGGGGGGACCCATTTCACCCCGAGGCCCTGACAGTACTGCAGTTGTCCTCTGCCGGCGTAACCTCCTCGGCTCCATGTGCCCCGAACTTTGGGGTACCCTAGGCATGGCTATAGGCAGGGGTGTCCCTCCTGAAGTCCCAGCCTGCCTTGATCTCAGCACCCTGCCCCCACTCTGGGGAGGCAGAGGGTTGCCCCTCCCGGGAGCCCACAGCGGGAGCCCGCACGTCTGAGCAGTGCATTCTGCACTTTGTAGAAAACGCCCTGAAAGGAAGAGCTGCCACTCCCCGGGGACCTCCCGGCCCCGTGGCCCACCACTCACTTCCGGACGTCCACACTCGGAGCCGTGGTGCTCCTGTGGGGGGCCTGTGCACAGGTCAGATTGTCTGTGCCACTCAGGCCTGCTGAGCCCTGGGGCAGAGCCCAGCCCATTGGTCCCTGCAGGCCCACTGGGCCAGGAGGAGGAAGGAGTGGCCGCAGCCCAGCAGGGGGCAGTAGGGACCAGCCAGAGTCTCCCAGGGCCCTGGGCCGGTGCAGCGCCTGTGACAGAAGTTACCACCACTGCCAAGTAGAGCTGGGGGAGCCGGCCGACGGGAAGAGGTTTCTGGTCCTTGTTTTGTTTTAGTTTTGACTCTGAGAGGATGTTTGTTAAAGCTGGGACCGTGAAACAAGGAAGGGCCTAGGACAGAAGCAGCAACAGGCGAGAGCCCGGGTGGGGGCTGCTTGGGTTCAGTGGAACGTCAGCGAGAAGGGGTCCCGGGGGCCGGTTCACAGGGAAGCCTGGATGAGCTGCCACAGCCCGTTGCTGCCGTGGTCGTGAGCCTGGGGGTGTGTGGGGGTTCTGAGAGCCCAGGAGTCACCTGGCTGCTGGTGAGGAAGACGAAGACGGGGAAGGGAAGGTGTGGCGGTGGGGCTCCAGGAGGAAGCGCGCTCCCTTCACATTAATAGCAGGAGCCAGTGTGGGGCTGGGGAAAGAGCCCAAGTGTGTCTGTCTCCCGAGAGATGGTGAAAACGCCCCCGGGAGACACGGTGCTGGTGCTGGGCCTGGTCCGTGTGCGCACACGGAGCGCACTGGAAGGGAAGCGTGCTCTGCCGACACGACGCGGTTCTTGGCTCTGTGGTTTCATTGCAGAGGCGTGGCCCCCGTGAGGTGTCCTTCTCGTACTTCCCTGTGTTTATTACACACAGACGGATGGGACTTTTTCCACCCACACAGCTTCAGCGGGACCAGGGACTCGGGCTCCTCCTGGGCTTGTCCGTGCCCTGTGGCGGCAAAGCTTCCACAGGAGGAGTCTGAGCCGGGCTCTCCGTGATGGGAGGGGGCCAGCTGGGGACCCCGAGGGTGTCCTGGGAGTGTGGGGCTCCCAGGGAGACGCCTCGAGCTCCTGTGGGAGGCCGAGCTCCGTGTCCCCACGCTGATCCTGTGCTCTCCCGGCCTGTCTCCACACCTGCCCGTCCCCGTGGGTCTCCGGGGACAGCGGAGGCTGCAGAGGCCCCAGAGCCTCCTCCGTGCGCAGTGTCCCACCCAGGAGTCAGCCACGGCCCCTGGCAGGTTTTGCACGCAGGTCGGGTCCAAGTCAGAATTGACCTTTCCTGTTTGTGCTTTGTGAGGTGGCCTAGTGGCCCGCAGACGACCGGTGGGGCTGGCGCGGGAGGTGGTGGTCAGGGCGCAGGCTTCAGCACTGCCCAGCGTTTCAGTCCTCCTGCGGGCCAGCAGGAGGCAGCACCAAGTGGGCTCCCTTGTTTGTGAACCAGGCTGCGGTGGTCCCCACGTCCTGCTGCGGTGACCATGTCAGTCGGCCTCACCTGTGTAAGACTGGTCAGCGACTGTGGAAACCGTGCTTTCTTGATTGTCCGGCTCTCACCCTTGTCAGAACCAACCTTCACAACGTTTAATTTTGCAGCGACTGAGCCGGGCTTGGGACACCTGCCCCGAGGTGGGGGGGGGGGTGTCTGACCCCTGAGGTCGCAGGCCAGAGCACACGGCCTGCACCGTGACGCCGGAGTCCTGATGGAATGGGGTCGCCGCCCCGCCGCCAACATCCGTGTGACAGACACGTGGGAGCTGCAGGCCCCTCTGCCAACTGGCCGCCGGCCTCTGCCGCACGCCCGGCTGCTCAGACTTGCCTGCCCTTGGATGGGCCCGCCTGCTGCCCCGGCCCTGGGGTCCTCATCTATGCGAATCAGAGACACTGAGTGACTGCACTGTACTCGGAGCCGGAATGGCCAAGCATCCCTGTCTCCCTTCTCCACCCCCCCCACCCAGGTCCTGGGGCCCCCTCCACACGCGTCTCCCCCTGGGAGCCTCCCGGTACCTGCGTGGGCTGGAAGGAGGGAGGGGAGAGGAGTTTGTGAGTGGGCAGGGCGGGTTCTGTGCAGCCAGGGGCGTTGTGAGTGTGGCCTGGCTTTCTGTGTCTGGGTGGGAGCCACGTCGTCCCCCAAACTGGATTCTGCCCACCCACAGCACAGCTCACCGGTTTCTCCCGCACGCCACCTCCCACCGTCTGCGGTGACGTACAGGAGTGCAGGGGCCCTGCGGGAGCCCCACGGGACGAGCTGCGTGCTGGGTGGGCGGGGGCTCACTGTTCTCGTAGTGCATGTGTCTTCTTGTGGACGTCTGCAGTTTATTCTCGGTGCAAATGTCTTCTGTTTAACTGATTAAACAACGTCTTACAAACCGCATTCCCGCCTTTCTTTAGCGGTGTAGGCTCACCACACGACGGGGTGCATTCTGTTTGCAAGACAGACCGATGAGTGACTTCAGGTCTGGCTTAGAGAACATTCTAAAACTATATCGATGGGAGGCTTCTCCTAGAATTTTCTTTTGAAATGCTGACAGAGTAAACAGGTGTTTACAAAGCTTTCTCACTGGCCCCGACTGGTGTGGCTTGCTTGGGTGTCGTCCCACAAAGCAAAGGGTCAGGGGTTCGACTCCCAGTCAGGCACTTGCCTGGGTTGTGGGTTCGGTCCCCAGTTGGGGCGTGTGTGAGAGGAAACCAGTCAATGTTTTTACATAGATGTTTCTTTCCCTCCCTTCTTATCTAAAAAAAAATAAAATCTTTTAAAGATAAAAAAAACAAAAGCTTTCCCACTGCCTGAGCCCTGCAGAGCCTCCGCACTCACAGCAAGGCTGCCCGCCCACCTCTGAGCTCCACTTCGGGGGGGTCGTGGCGAGTGGAACCCCAGCCTGCGGCCTCCCCTCCCCCCAGACCCCCCTCCCCTACAAGGGGCAAGGTCCAGTCCTTGCGAGACAGGAAGCCCGTTTCTGCAGGGAGACGCCCTCCTGAGGCCTCGGGTCACCTGCCCTGGCTGAGACATCGGCCTGCAGGTCACCTGGACGGAGAGGGGGGCCGGCAGGCTGGGGGCTGACGCCGTGACCCTGGCCCCTGGTGATGGAAGGTGTGGATGTTCACGTGTGGGGAACTGGGAAGGACTCCTGACCTCCACGTAGGCCTGGGGGGGGTTTTGAGTGCTACCTGGGAACTTGAGTCGGCATTTGAACAGTGATTGCAGAACTGGACCGACAGGCTGACCGAGGTGCCGGCTTGGAGCCCGGCCAGCACTCTCCCGGCCCTTCTTGGGGGCAGGAACTCGGGTTCTGGAGGCTTCCTGGGGTGTAATGCTGCCCGGGAACAAAGCCCACGGCCCCAGGGTCCCGGCTGTGAGGGGCTCGGTCTCTGTGAGCTTCGGGTGGTGGTTCCGCTGGCTCCGTGGCGACCAGCCCTGCACACGTGAGCATGCAGACGTGTCTGTACACGCGAGACGCCTGCCGGCATTGTGGAGGCACGCATGCGCTGCCCCATTCCCGTACGGTCCTCCACAAATGAACATTTCCGTGCGGCTGTGGTGAAGCCTGAGGATTTCTTCCTCCACAGGATTACCTGTGCAGTAGCTACAGTGCGTGAACCAAGCCATAGTTGCTGCTGCCCCTTAAATGTCCCCCTCTTAAAGGAACGGCCTGCCCTGCTCTCCGAGGCCCAGGTCCCCTCTCACCTGTGCTCCCACCGGTCTCCGTCCTGGGCGCTGCCCTGGATGTCCCAGGCAGCGGGACTCTGGGCCCTCGGGGCCCCTGCAAGACCCTACGAGTGATCAGGGCTGGGGGCCTCCCTTTCCCGGCCCATCCCTGCCAGATTCTGAGGCCCGGCTCTGGTCACAGATCCCAGGTCACTGCCAATTCTGGGTTCGAGTTC